ACCATAAGGTAAGGGAAAAAAACCTAGTAGACTGACAAAGACTTTCATCATCCGGGTTTTTAAGGTAATTTTATCTCTATTCAGGAAGTTATATTATTCTTCAAAATGTTGTGCCCGATCATCTAGATAGAAATCTTCCATAAGTTCTATGGTGTGTGGAGACACACAAAAATCTTCCACCACACTCACCTCTTCTTCTCCAACACTACATTCTCCTCCACTTCTTCTTCTATTATTCTCTACCACTATATTCTCCTCTTCTTCTTTTCTTAGTTGAACCACTACATTCTAATCTGCTTTTTATTCTCTTCTTCTCTACAACTACATCTTTCACCTCTTCTTCTTTTCTTAGCCTAACCACCACCTTCTCTTCTTTTTCTTATTTTCTTTTTTTTTTTCCACAACTGCAACATCGTCTTCTTCCTTCTCTTATTCAAACCACTACACCCCCTCCTCTTCTTCTTCTCTTATTCTCCTTCTCTTCTCATTCTCTTCTTCTTCACCATTACAATCACCTATTCTTCATCTTCTCTTAGTCGAACTACCACCCTCATCTTCTTCTCCTTCCCTTCTTCTCAGCAGTACATACTTCTCTTTTCTTCTTTTCTTATCCATCTCTTATTCTCCACCTACGCCCTCCTTTTCTTCTCTTTATCTTTTCCTCACCACTATAAAATTCTCTTTTTCTCCTTCTCTTCTCGTTCTCTTCTGCTCCACCGCTATATTCACCTCCTCTTAGTTGCCTCTTCTTTATCACCATTACATCCTTCGCCACTTCTTTTTCCCTTCTTCTCTACCACTACATTCTCCTCATCCTTTTGTTTTCTTCTTCTGCACCACTACATCCTTCTACCCTTCTTCTCTTAGCCAAACCACTACCGCCTCCTTTTTTCTTCTCTTCTTCTCCACTGCTTTCACTTCCTCTCCCTCTTATTCCATTGGTTCTCTCCACTACCAAAATCCCAACCTAGCCTCTTCCACTTCCTTCTCCTTCTCCTTTTCATCACCAAAACCAATCCCTAGCCTCCTCCACTTCCTTCTCCTCTTCTTTATCATCATATTGAAATCCCTCTCCTTTCCTCACTCTCTTCTTTTCCTTCCCACCTTGACTAAAATGTCCATGCACAATTCATTGGGTAAGTTCCTTAAGATATGTATAGTTTCTAACCTAAACATGTTTTAATGTAGCTTACTTTATCAAAATAAAGGGTTTCACATGTATGTTGCTATTATAACTCATGTCTAAGATTGAAATTAATGTGATATTTATGTTAGCTTCATGTAAAAATTAGAGTCATTTTTAGGCTCTCAAAATTAATGAAACTTGCTCGTGTAGATTTTTTATGTGTTTTCTCCTTACATGTGTAAAATTCTTCATGTGTATTTTTTCCCGTAAGTTCTTTTATGTGAAACAATTAGCTCCACGTATAATCTCCATGTAGTTTGCTTCACTTCATTTTTTTTCATGTATTTTATTGAAGTAAAACACTTAGTTCCATGTGAAGTTTTCATGTAGTTTGATTCAAGTGATTTTTTTTTTCATGTAACTTTCTCCATGTGAAATCTTTGCCATGTAAATTTTTCTTCATATTTAGTTTTTACCATGTATGTGCAGACTTATGTTTATATATTAAGTATTTTATTATGTGTTAATTATGTGAACTTGAAAGACTTCCAGATGTTAAGCTTTTCTCCATGTGTTTCCTAGGGTAGGATTCCTTTATGTGTAAGCATTCCACATGGAGATTCTCTATATGTGTAAGTCATCATAGGTAAATCCTTCATATGTGTAGTCTTCACCATGTGTAATTTTACTGTCATGACTTGGCATGGGCTTGAAACTAACAAAGGCGTAAACAGATAGTTAGTCAGTGTGAAAAAGATTTATACATTCATTTACTATTTAACATATGAAAGAGCCACTAAAAATTAAATTAAAGCGGTACAATTCAAATTTACCTTGTTGATGATTGTTCATGTCTTCTATTAGCATTTTCTTGTCTATCATTCATCTTTTAACAATTTAATTAAACCTAAAATGTTAGTTAAAATAATAGTGAGCTAAACAAAGCTAGTGAATACGCATACTTATATACTACAGTAATATAAGTAAAATAAATAATACGTCAGTTAGACTTTTTTAAAAATCAATCTAAACATTTAACATGTTATTCGAAGGGGTATATACCAATAACACATCAATATCATTTCATATCTATACAACCTTCACGGGAGGCATTATTTAAAAATTGTACCACTTAAGATACTTCACTATCAATATCATTTTCCATTTACGTGCACAAGTATAATAGTATTGTCCTACTAGTACCATCAAGGGGTCTCCATCATAAGTAAACATGCACATGCAAGCATACTATAAATCATTTCGTTTACATTCTAAATATCATCAAATATCTTTCTTTTATAACATGCATATATTGTAAATAAGTATAACTATACAAATCATTCACATTTATTTCTAGATGATCACATTGAATAATAAGACACAATAATCTTATTCTAATTGCAGTAACGATATATCTTGACTAATGACATTCTAATGCGAGTGATTTAAAAAAAATACAATATTATTATAATAATTTAGAAGTAAAAGTACTCATCTCGATGACATTTAATTCGACAAGATTTAGCTCCAATGTCGACACTTCTAAAGTTAAAATCTAACATAAACATGATATAAAAATTAAATTTATTTATTATTTCGAATAAACTATTAATTTTTCATTATTAGTTAAGTATTAAAATTTCATTATGTTATTATTTTTATTTTTTTCTATTGAATACACACACACACACACATCTTATTATTATTATTATTATTATTATTATTATAATAAAAATATCATTTTCTCTTCCAAACCCTCGACCTAGCTCGACACACACATTCCACCCCTTCCCTTTCTAAAAATATCATTTTCTCTTCCAAACCCTCGACCTAGCTCGACACACACATTCCACCCCTTCCCTTTCTTCTTTTTCTGCTCGATCACATAGGATCGAATCACTATGTGTGAAGAATCATCTCTCGCACACTACTTTTTTTCGGCGCTTAACTAGGGCACGATCGAGCTCTTCCTTCGTCTTCCTCATCGACTTGGTTGGACTTGAGACTACGATGCTCAGCTTTTGTCAACCACCAAACCAGACAAACAGAAATCAGAGAGAGGAAACCAACAACTAAACTGAAAACCATTACACAGTAGCATTTGCATAATCATAAAGCTGCCGAATAGATAAGGCAAAGATTACTGGAACAGGGGGGAGAGGTAAAAGAGGGACTACCGCACAGAACCCATAATGTGCACAACCACCAAACTGAGCCGAAAAAGAGAAGGGACAAGTAAAGAGATAATAGAAAGCTTATTGTAATAACACCAACTGAAGAAAGGGAACCACCGCACATAGCAGAGAGTGCACAGAACCACCAAATCAAGCAGAAGAAAAGAGATGAGAGAAAGAAGTATGTTAGGGTCACCGGAACAACCAATCATAACCGACAAGAGGAAATCAGAAACAACATCTAGCCATCGGAGCCACAGATCCAAGGGAATCAAGATAAGGGACTCGCAAAGGAACAAGACTGTCGCGGAAGGGAGAGGAGCCGTGGAAGGTACGGCAGCCGCATAAATAAAAATAGAAGGAACGCGGGCCGTAGGGTCAAATCCACATCCCACATTTCGATCGGATTCTTCAAAATGCTCTCCTAAACGTGTCTTCCAAATAGACGAAGCTGCGGTCCCAAATCACACCATAGTAAAACGCCACCCCGAACGACCCCTTAGCACCAATCTGGTGTTACTAAAATATTTATCTTATATGCATAATCATCTCATTGGCCGTCTTGAAGGTAGAAGTAGGTCTTTAGATGAAACCACAACAATTTTTTGATCTGTCCCTTCTGTTTTGTTTGCTCTTTATATCTCCCCATGAAATAACTAAGATATAAAACTTTTTCTATTCGTCCCAGCCTGACTCTCCGGTGCATATGTTACTTGAGTTTTAATCATTGACATTGCATGTATTATGATACATTCAACTTTATGAAGAAGGATTAGTAAGAGAAGTGGCAGCGATTTAACTTATTTGGGGTTGTAAGGAAATGCATATATATAAATCCAACCAAACATCCAAAAAGATAAAAAGTTAAAGCAAACACTCCATTAAATCAAATTTTTTTCAGCTCATTTTTTTTTACCTATTCAATCCCTTTTATGACGAAAATTATGATTAAGTAAATCTGATTGTGAGACTGATTTAACAATGTCTTTCCACCATCGCTCGTGAGTCATCACTGTCACACTGATGATCGAACTTACTAGATTTGATAAATTCTATTTAACGTAAATTCAAGCTGCAGCCAAATACCACCTAAAAATATCAATATGTGTTAAATCAAGTTCAATATTGACTAATTATAAGTTGAACTATAACTATTTCTATTTCCAATCTTCATTACCTAGTTCTTATCTTAGGATGACACATTTCAACTTAAATGCAACACCATCAAAAGAGATTATCACTAATATGGACTCTCTTCAATCACCATCATAATCAAATCTCAATGATGCAACTTAGTTTGCACGATTCATATTAAATTCATCAAAATTAAACTAATTTACATAGAGCAAATAGATTTAATCCAATTTAACCACTATACTAAGAATATTTTAAAATCCAAATATGATGTTAACTAGAATCCCAATACCGTGAGTGTGAATTTAGGGTCCGTTTGGGGCAGCTTGCGCATTTGCCCGGAGTCGACCCACGACCTGCGTTTAGTGTAAAAAACCCAAACGCAGTTTCGGATAAGCTGGCGAAACGCGTGAACCACAAGGTACGACAGCGTTTGAAAATGCCGCTCGCAATTATAAGCTGTCCCAAACGGACCCTTAATGATATTGTAATAGTATTATGATGATATTAACCGTAATAACACAACATCATCCTAATAGTATCAATCCACATGTATGTAACTCTTCCTCTTTTTTTAAATAAAGTTTGAGCAATCAAGCTCCATCTTTAAAAATCCTCTTTTTGATGAAACACAAACAAAGGTAGTGCGGCCCAAAGGGATCAAAGAAGTCTTTAAAATTCCCAAAAAAAAAAAAAAAAGAATTGCAGAGCAATAAACATCTTCAACTGCCATTCTCCGATTCTCCGGCGGCCTCAGAAAACCCCGTCGGCGTCCTCCCTTCCCTTCTAATGGCGCTCCGCAACCGAATATAACCATATAACTTCCTCAACTCCCTCACCGTCGCCTCCTTCCTTTTCCCAATACCACGCACTCCAAACCCTCCATCCCTAACCCTAGACATCCTCTCCACCGCACCAGACGACACCGACCTGTGTAAGGCATTAATAACCGACTTTATTGCTCGTGTCGACGATCCTCTGTTCGCGATCATGATCTCCCCTACCTCCGCCGGACTGATACGCCCGCCGCTCTGAAACCCCTCTTCCACTTCCTCGTACAGCTTGTGATCCTTCAATCCCAGGTAACAACTGGCCAGAGTCTTGAACGCCGTGAAATCACAGAGAGGAAAATGGATCCGGACGTCGATCCGACCAGGCCTAATGACCGCCGGGTCATCAATCGCATCTACCCCTCTCCTTCCGCTGACAGTGCAGACCATCACCCGTTCCTCCCCGCAGCAGGAGAACACACCGTCCATGAAATTCAGCATCCATGACCTCGCGTAATAGCGGTCAAGATCCTCGACCAGAATAAGGGATCGCGGTGTCGTGTTAAGGAGAAGAAACCGGAGATCGGCGGAGTTGGAGACGAGGGAGAGATCGAGATCGTAGACATTGTAGCGGAGGTAACGTGCCATCGCAGCGGCGAAGCTTGATTTTCCCGTTCCCGGTGCGCCTTGCAGAAGGTAGCTACGCTTCCACACTCGGCCGAGCCGAGCGTAGTAGCTGCGCCCCTTTAGAAACGACTCCAGATCCGCTTTAACTCGTGATTTCACAACTGGATCCATCACCACTGTTTCCAGAGTGGCGGGGTGCGTCATCCCTACCCCTCTCCATCTCTGAGCAGGGGAATTCGTGTACAGCCTAATCTCCATCCGACGTATCTCGATCTCCTCAGCGGTGTTCTCCACGTGCTGGAGATATGGCCGGAGAACACGGTACCGATCCTGACGACGGAGGCGGAGGACGAGATCGCCGTCGGCATTGGAAGTCCATGAGAGGCGGGCATTGAGAAACGAATCTTGGACGGTTTGGCCTGGAGCTAGGCGAGCGGAGAACTCGTTCGAGCGAAGGTTAGATGAAAATAAGTTGGTTACATCAGAATCTTCGACGGCGGAGAGGGTGGCGGTGTAAGCTGCGGCTTTGCGGTGAAGGGGGTTTTGTTGCAAGCCATCGTTGTTGTACAGGGGGATTTTGAAGGTCTGATAGGACTGAGTTCGATCTTCGAACCATTGCTGGAATCTGTTTAGAAGATGAATGAGGGATTTGAAGGAGAGGATTGTGCGGATGAGGATGAGGATGAAGAAGCTAACCGCGGTGGCTTGGAGGAAGCTCGCCGCCGACGAGGCGATCATCTGGTGGAGAAGATTAAGCGGTTGGATCGTTAAGAGATGATCATGAGCTTGCCTGCTTCTGGATTTTGTTGAAGGGGGAGTTGGATTCAATGATCGAACTGGAATGTATGTTGGTTTGTTGGAGGGGAGAAGCGGGAGAGGAGAATTGTATTGATGGAGTTAAGAAGCAATTGAGCCAAATTTATAGCGATGAAATTAACTGAAATTTAAGTGTGAGCGGGGAATGGTGCCGCGGCGTGCAATGTGGGTTTGAGGGAAGAGAGTTGGTCAATGTGGAATGGCATATATATATATATATATATATAATATATATATATATATATATATAGTACTTGCACTCCTGCGAACTCAAATCAGTTGGTCTGACATTTATTTGTGAGTCGTAAGTTTCCTCTGATCTGGGGTTTAATTCCCCTTAAGTGTAGGGCGTGGTACTTGTATTATAGGGGCACGAGAGATGTCTATGGCTCGTAGAGGTGTATACGAGCCGAGCACGAGCTGAGCTTCAGCTCGTTTATATTTCGAGCTCAAAAAGTGTGTTCGTGTTCGGCTCGTTTCTGTAGTGATTGAAGTGATTTATATTGGCTGATAAAATTATATTGATAATTTTTATAAATTTGGTGAGGCATGTGATTGGGGCACGTTTCTGAAGTGATTTATATTGACAAAATTATTGGGAACCATGCAACCTGTAATTTGCTTTATATTCATACCATTAAAAGGGATAATTACATATATATCCCTGCAACATTGATATTTTAACATTTATATTATACATGAAATTTAAATTAATAGTTAACAAAAATAAATAAACATGTACTGAACATTTATTTATTTTTATGGTGGCGTTCGACATGCATTCATAAGGGGAAAAGAATTGTGAGGGCGTCCTCTTAAATTTAGTTATTACAAACCTTGAAATTTTCAAGTTATATATATATATTTTTTGAGATGAATTCCATATGAGATCTAGTTATTGATTTATTATATAATAAATTTATCTGGCAATAAAGTAAAATATTAATAAATTATCCTAATAAATAATGATTAAATCATTATCACTCAACTTTGTTCTAATAATTTAAGATGGAGAGGGAATCAATTTTTTACTTTTAGTGCAAAAGGAAGATTATTTTGGGGTTAAGAATTTTGATAATATTGCTTATAGATCCTCAAGAATTTATTTTAAACATGCATTAATTTCGGAATATTTCAAATAATATTCAAATTCAAGATCATCGGGACATTTGATTCCAACATGCTGATAGTCAAACTGGCCGTCTCGACCAGACAAGCCCAATGAAGCAAAAATTATTTCAATCCGAGTCAGATGAAGCCCCGATCAAGCATTAAGTGTAATTATAAGTTTTGAATGGACAATTGAATTGTCAAATGAATTCTAAATCTGATAAGCTTGTAGTCAAAGTGAATGTCTCATCGAGTCAAATCTAACGAGTCCAATATCACTCATTTCTGACATCATTACTGCACTCAAATGTTGATAGAACATCATCTGGTGAAAAAGATCACTCTAAACTATGAGTTTATCCTAAATTATAATAACAAGGCCTCCACATTCATTTATAAGTCTCGTTTCTATTAATTATGTCCAAATAGAGTATGATATTTCCTTCCATGGACTTTAGGCTATTAAGATTTCTTGAACGACGTAACAAATGGATTGCTAACATGAGATCTCTAGTAGAGTTTGAGGTGGCAGTGTGGTGCTCTACAACAATTTTTTTTGTATGACAATACTGTGTTTTGTTTGCGTTTTCAAAAGTTGCAGTTAAAAGCTTCGTTTTCTCACCATGACTGGCTACATGTGGTGGCTACTAGAAAACTAAAGTCTAACTTTTTCAAATTTTTATTTATTATTATTTTTTGTAGTAGCCATCAAAACTTTTTAAAATAGTAGATTTTTCTTTAGCAGCTTCACAACTGTTTCTTCAAACACTTGTAGCTACTTAGAGTCTTAATAACTTGAAACGATGGATTAATGAAATCCTGACCTCGCTCCCTCTGCATAATTAGGAATTGCTCACCTGTTTATAAATGATGGATTAATGAAATCCTGACCTTGCTCCCTCTGCATAATTACGAATTGCTCACCTGTTTATTGATATACGCCTTTTGGGCACATTCGACTTTGTTGACACATCATTGATGTCATTTCATAAGCTATGTTCGCTAATAAGTCGCCAGTCATTTGAGATACTATGATTCATTCTCTACCCTGTAGCTCGATAAGACTTTGGAGCATTGGGATGATCCGATTTGAGATGAAAACATTATTACTTGATATCTCCTTTCACTAGATGTTAAAATATATCTAAGATTCATTTAATCAACAATATTTTTAGGTAACCCCCCAGATAAAATAAACCAACAAGGACATTCTTTGGGAGTTGCTCCTGACCATGGAACAAAAATATGAATTTTGATTCTCGGGTTTTAGAATCTAGTAATTTATATAAGATTTCTTTATGGATATGCTTTCAAAATATTTTTTACAAGTTTTGTTTTGAGCAAACACTTTGATCTATCATATGAATAATATCTTATAAAAATTCTCGATGTTCTATTTGTCTTTTGTTTGTTTAATTTCGCTGTATTTTCCCCTTTCTAATTCATCTTCTTCTTGGAATTATTTCGATGATCCAAGAAATAAGGTTACTTGAATTAGAAAATTATAAAACGAAAAATTAAACAATCTGGCGACTCCAATTTAAAAAGAACTAAAACATATATATCTTAAGTGGCTCTTTTATTTTACACATCTTTATGACTTATTTGTGGCTTACTATTGATTTAATTATTATAAACCATGTTCAGTGTGTCATCTAATACGACTTATTAATTTACTATTGATTTAATCATTACAAACAAAGTATATTGTCATCTAATATGACTTATTAAGCATAGTTAAGTTATAAAAAGCAATCATAGCAATAAAGATATTGTTTGTTAAACTAGCTTGAAGATTTGTCAAGTCAAAGATGGGTCAACTCTGAGCACCTTAAAAAAACAAATAACTTGACGCATTCCTTACTTTCAAGATGAATCAATAAGTTTAACATGGCAATTCATGTACAAAATATAAATTGCAAGGTTTAAAATAAGTGTCTGAAGAGTAGCTTTTATGATAAATGTGCTTAAGATCACATTTACAAAGCATGCTATGGAAAAATGAACATAATCAAATAAAATATGCAAATTATTTTTTAATGTCTTTTATATAATATAAATTGATTTATTTATCTGATAATATCATTAGATATTATATATATATATCGATTTCCCATGTGTTAGACCCCATGATGAGAGTTTGCTCCATGTGCCTAAATATTCGAGAATCCAGCGCCACTGAGATCTAACTCGTCAAATATCACCTGATTATACATTTATACCAACAATATCAAAATCATTGTAATGTCAAAAAAAATATATATAGTACATATAAACCGACAGATGCAGCAAAAAGTATAATGATCAGCCAAAATGATATAATCATGCATTAAGATCTACCTGATTTTGTTGATTAAGAATGATTTCTTGAGTATAACAGTTGATAATGTTCAATCAAAGCAATTTTAACTTTTATATGTTGGTTAAGCATGTTTTTATTTGTCCCAATGATTGTTTATACTTTAGAGCCATACAAAAACAAGCAATAAAAAAATCCAGAAAAAGTGAGTATATATTATGAGATCATTTGAAAACAAAAAAAAAAAAAAAAAACAAAAAAATAGATAAAGGTTCAAAGGTGATTAAATCAAAGAAAAAAGAATTGTCTAATTGCTCTAGAATTTAATCTACCTGCACATTTACTTATCATTTATATGCCTTTATATTGTGAATGATTGAGTTTATTAAATGAATCTTATACCAAGCTAAATATAATCATTATACTTAGTATGTTATTCTTCTTAGTGCATGCTCATCTTTACATCACCATCATAGTTTATTTTCAAAATGTACATCATAATGTTTGCAAGAAATATCTTTATAGGCTATATGTATAATAACATGCTGCGAAAAATAAATAAATAAATAAATAAAAACTAAGATAGCTGGTCATAAACATTTTCTTCAATATATTAGTGCTATTTGCATAAATTTGATTGCTCACATTTTAGCAACAAATTATATGTTAGAACACTCCTACACAAGTACATACATAATTGTGTATCTGAAAAAATAGATTTGATTATTATTATCATTTATTTATGTGATACAATGTCAATATTTTCAACATGAATATTCTATAGTAATTAAAATTATTTTAAATTGCTTCCATAGTCCTAATTCCCCCAGTGGTCATTCAAGCATACACATTCTTTGGTGATTTGGAAAGCCAAAATATAGCTAGCCTGTGTTTACAAGAGCCTGTGGGGAAAAATCGTTCAGCCTAAAAAGAGTGCAGGAAGTGCCCTGGAGTGGATAATGACATACCTCGATATGGTTGCGGAATTCAGAAATCAATCTTCTCGGGTTTTGTGTTTTGAATATGCGTCATTGAATTGTTGTTGCAACTACAAATGGTGGAAACATGTAAAAACTATTTGATAAATTGTTTGGAATGGATATTAAGCTGCATAATGATACAGTTCAAAACACAGAAAATCATCAGGGAATCAGAGCAGAACCAAAACTTCTGGTCAAATGAAATATGTTCATGACAATGATAGCTCAAAGACTGAATCGTTTCCCATTTTATATGTATAAGGTTTAATAAGAATATGTTTTAATAAACAAAGAGTTGCATACTTTAAAAAGAATCAAAGTGGCAAATTCAACTTGGGAGAAAATTAAAAAGAAAACCATATTGCAAACTAATAAATCAATTTACAAAAGTACTCAAATTTGCACTGTATCAAATGATAAATTCGGTTTCTATCTATACGCGCATTGCGTGATGGGACTTGGCCACTCTGATTATTTGCTGCCACTCAGGTTACTCTTTGCCCCCTTAAGGTTCATATGATTGCTTGAAGATAGAAAATATGTACTGAGAAAAGATAATTTGTTTTAGATTCTCAATTAGATTGATTTGGTTAGAATTCAATACGAATTTTAAACTCTAAAAAAAAACTTCAAAATTCTACTAAGTGAAGTTTTATTTGCCTCAAACAAGAATATGTTTTCAACCTACCAGCAACCATTTGAGCCCTTGTAAAAATGAAAGCTACAAGATTCTATGCGTGCTCTTCCAATTGAATTACATTTCTTAACTCTGCCCTACGTCTAGCTGCAGCATATGAGCTTGTGGCCCCACAATATGAGCCTACATAGAAATTAAAAAACTAGAACAATCCCTGAAATCACTAATAATTTCAAGATGTATACCATATTCGTCAAGTTTCAAATTTTTATTAATTTCTAATTACATCAACTACAGACGTTTTAATAAGGTGACTGAAAAATAAATATGCTTTCTTATAGATCATCAGTTTGACTAGTTGCACAGATCCTTCGTATTTTCCCAAAGTGACATCCGATATAGGTATCATCATATTGATCTTGCGTCTATCACCCTCTAAATTTACAGGGTCTAGCACACATTAAATTGAAGTAAACTCAACATACTTCAATCCTAACATGCATTAGATTTGATGCACGTGATTCATTCGAGTTTGATGGTGATAGGTTTGATCATACACCAATTTAACTAGTCAGTGAATTGTTCTTTAATTTGATTACGCATCTCATCGCGATCATGCTCTCACTTGATCACATCTGTCTAACCCCAATATTGATCGTTGTTGATCGAGGACACATCTCATAATGGTCTTGATATATGTTGGATCATGTCTCCTGAATATTAACTCTGCTGATTGATTATATCTTGAGAGCTATTGATTTATAAAAAAAAATTAAAATCTCATGAAGGCATCAAATTAATTAATTAGCTTCGAAATTTAGATTGACCGAACAATAGCAACAACAACAAAGCCTTGATCCTACAAAGTGGGGTCGGCAAAATTTAAGTTGACCCAATTAAATAATATAATGAATTTGATTAATTTGATTTAGGTTATCACTTTGTAGTTAATTAATTAATTAATTAAGTTCAAATACTAATCAAAACATGATTTAAATCCCTTTGCAGGTTTGTTCTTACTTTTAGACGCACAACAAAAAATCATTTTTCTTTATTCTTTTTAAAAATTTTATTTCATTCATGCACTTTGATCTGGTGGGTTCCTAGAAATTTAGATGGCTTGGAAAAACAAGAAAGTAAGAATTATACCTAGTCAGGAGTTTAAAATGTATGAAATTAACCAGTTCACACTTATCTATTTTAATATAAAAAATGTGTACATTATTGCTAACGTTATGTGGTATGTTCTATATTAATTAAACTTGCACAAAAAATTCTTTGGTTTATTTCACGCTATATGCATTGCATTTTCATAAGTTTCTATATATATAAATAATAATAATAATAATAATAATAATAATAATGCTAGTTTTAAAATTTTGATTGTGCTTATTTCTTTATTTTTTATTAATGGTTGGGGACACTTAAATATTATGAAGCTTCCTCCTAAACTTGTGAATTGATTATAACAATGTTAGTTTTAATTTACTAAGATGGAACATGATGTGATTCTATCTATCATTTTTTTTTTTGGCACATTATTAATTAATAAAATACAAATTAGTTTATAATCATTAAAAGGAGTGAACAATTTAGATATCTCGGGTTTCTTGTTATAAGTGATGGTGATATAAATGGGGATGCTATTAGTAGAATTCAAGTTGAATGGTTGAAGTGGAGGAATGCATCGAGCCTATTGAGTGATAGAAAAACCCTGCTTAGACTTGAGACAAAATTTTATAAGATGGTGGTGAAAACTGTAATGTTTTTGCCTATATAAGAGAAGCATAAAACTTAATTATGTGTGGTTGAGATGAGAATGCTTAGGTGGATGAGTGGCTTGACACTTAGAGACAAAATACAAAACGATTGTATTCCTGAAAGGGTTGATGTAACTTCAGTGACAGACAAGATTGAAGAGAGACGTCTTAGATGATTTGGCCATATTAAAAGGCGACCTTCTAATAATCTGGTTAGGAGAGTAGAGGTTTTAGATTCAACTTATGCTAAGAAAGGTAGAGGTATATCTAAAACAACTTGGGCATGTTGTATAAAACATTATCTTAATTTATCAGAATTAAATAAAAATATGCAATCAATAGGAAACAATGAAGAAAAAGAATTCATGTAGCCGATCCCACTTAGTGGGATAAAGGCTTATTAGCGTTGTTGTTGTACCAGTAGCTAATTTTCAAGGAACCTTAAGATACATAATGTTATATGATTGATAGTATCTAGGTTGACTATTAGAATCCTAGGATTACAAGTCACTCACTCATAAGTCAGACATACTAAAAAAAAAAACTACTCTACGAATCTAATAGGAAAAGTGATCAAGTTACAAGCTACTAATCTTAAATAAATACAACTTATCAGCACATAGTCTTGCTGATGTATAAACCTATCATACCCTATGGACTATTGCATATAATCTAGGATCTACGTTAGGACAAATAATTTAGACACACCCCCCATTCAGTGTTTCTATCTTCGTCCACCATTTAGATTTGATGGACCCTTTTCACTTTCATATACAATTAGGTGCTTACCAGGCATTAATGACCTAGGAAGAATAGAAGTTCATGTTTTTAACTTCTCTATCACATTAATAAGATACTATGGCTTTCTTGGTCACAAGCGATTAAGTTGCACGTCTTATTTTTGACATTTTTTTCCACAATTTGGAGAAGTCTAAGCATCTTGATCTCATATAATCGAGTTGTAAATGTCATTCTTTCTATTTTTTTTGTATTTTTTTTAACCATATTGAGGAGTTTTTTCTAGGTCTTTTCCCATCTTTAATTATCTCGTCATCTTACATTGAGGAGATATTTGGGTATCCTAATCAAATGTGAGCAAGATGTAAGTTTCACTTTCCATATCTTCTGTCTTCTCCTTCCATATTGATATATTTAAGCATCTCAACATCTGTGATGAAACTAAAAGTTTTTCTTTTAGTATTTTTTATTGTTCAACCCTATATTAAAATACTTAAGCATTCTAATCATATGCAATCCAAATCTAAGTCTCCTTTTTCATATCATCAATATTTCCTCACCCAATATGAAGAAGATGCCTGGGCATCCCAACTATATGCGATCAGATAGTAAGTCACAATTTGAATTTTTTTTTGTAAATCATCACCTTGTATTGGGGAGATACTTAGGCATCTTGATCATATACTCTCAGGCTATACCACGCTCTATATACTTCTTGATGTTTCTTCACCATATATTTAAGTATAGGATCATGTTATAAGTTCCATCATTCCTACTCTTTAGCTTTAGAGCATATGTAATTTTGTTAGCCTTGACATGCTCCATCACACAGTGTTACGAGTCTAATTTGGGTTTCTTCCTCCAATAATATTAGGGTATAAGTCCCATCGATTAACATAAGATTAGATCCCACTCTTAATCTGTGAAATACCCTTAAATAAGGTAATCCAATAAAGCTCCTTTGTTCATCACTTGACTAGATAGATTATGAAACCAACAATTTGAAATGATAGAATCGTGAGATTACATAGTGTTACAAGTTTAATTTGGGTTTCATCCTCCTATAATATTAGAGTACAAGTCCCATCTATTAACATAGGATTAGATCGCACTCTTAATCTGCGAGAAACCCTTAGATAAGGTAATCCATGTTTTTAATAAGGTTCCTTTGTTCATCACTTGACTAGTTAGATTATGAAACCAACAACTTGAAATAATGGAATCTTGAGTTTAACCAAAATTGTTGTACCCTTTTTAGGGTTACTCTCACTCTTTTAGATTCATTTCAATTCCTTTGAGCCCATTTCTAGGATATGCTGAACTTTCATGTTTTTTGGAGTTCCTTAGTATCCATTCCAACTTCTATTTTACCAAATTCATTGATTCTAACTAGGCTTGACCATAAGCTTTGACCCCTTATTAAGAGTACTTTTGATATGATCGGGATGTAATTAATATTAGAAGCTTGCTCCATTAAAATATCAAGAACATTTAAAATTATAAATAAAAAAGCCCTTGTTTAGTAACATTCTTTTTAAGGGAAATCTTTGCGAAAAACAAATTTATTCTAGCTTCTACTAATCTCCATGGGCTTATAGAGTCCATTGATATAACTATGATCAATCATCTATTATAGTAGCACCATAGGCATCCTTCAAAGCCCAAACATTAGTTGAATAATAAGAATAGGGATGAACCCGAGTTTGCTTTTCAATCCCAATATGATCATATAATAAATTTTTGTGATGTCATTTAGGTTGTCTAATGTTTATGCTACTTTCATGGACTTGATGAATAAGAAGTTTTAAGTTATGTTTAGACTAGTCTGTGATCATATTTATAGATGATATTTTAATTTATACTAAAAGTGATGAGGAGCATGCCTCAGTGGTACATGTTCATCAAAAGGACAAGTTATATAAGAAACTCTCTA